GGTATCTCGCTGTGGTTTTTATTTGTATCTCTCTGATGATTAGTGATGCTGAGGCTCTTTTCACATGTTCACTCATTGTTTGTATATCTTTGCTTGAGAAATGTCTATTGAAATCTTTCACTTATTTTTGTTTGTAATTTTTGTTTGTTGAATTATAAGAACTCTCTCTATTCTGAACACGAAATCCTCATCAGATATATTATGAGTATTTGCAAATATTTTCTCTCATTCTATGGTTGCCTTTTCACTTTCTTGATAATGTCTTTTGAGGCACAAAAGTTTTCAATTTGATGAAATGTAATTTATCTATTTTTCTTTTAATGTTTATGTCTTTGGTTTTATATCTAAGAAGCTATTACCAATTCCTACTTCATGAGATTTATCTCCTATGTTTTTTTAAAAAATTTATGTAATTATTATAGAGAGGGAGGGAGAGAGAGAGTGATCTTCTATATGCTGATTCACTCCCTAAATGGTCGCATTGATGGCCAGAGCTGAGCCAAGCTGAAGCCCAGAGCCTGGAGCTCCATCAGATCTCCTACATGGGTGGTAGGGGCCCAAGCACTTGAGCCATCTTCCGCTGCTTTCCCAGGCATATTAGTAGGGAGCTGGATTGGAAGTGGAGCTGCCTGGACTCAAAGGAGCTCATATGATATGCTGGTGTCACTGGCAGTGGCTTAACTCATTATGCCACAAGGCCCCCCACCCCTCTGTGGATTTTAAGAGTTTTATAGCTCTTAAATTTATGTCCTTGATCTTTTTGAGTTAATTGTTATATAGGATGTGAAGTAGATAGCCAATTCAATTATTTTGTAGATGTCTAAATGTCTCAGCACCATTTATTCAAGAGACTCTACTTTTTCATTTAAAGGTTTGGGCAGTCTTGTCAAAATTAATGACCAAATGTATATGGTTATTTCTGGACTTTCAATTGTAGTCCATTGATATATGCTTACCTGTATACCAGTACTACACGGTTTGAATGCTGTATCTTTAGAGTAAGCTTTAAAATCAAGAAGTGTAAGTGCTCAATTTTTGTTTTTCTTTTTCCAAGATTTTTTTTTTCTATGTGGAGTCCCTTTAGATTCCATGTGAATTTTTGTTAAAAAAAATCAAGCTCTTGCTAGAGATTGCATTTATAGTATAGATTGTATAGAATTGACATCTTAACAATATTAAATCTTGCAACCCATGAACACAAAATGTCTTTCCATTTATTTGTGTCATCTTTAATTTATTTTCATAACATTTTGTAGTCTTCATGGTACAGTCATCCCTCAATACCCATGGAATATTGGGTCCAGAACCCTCTGAAGGTACCAAAATGTGTGGATAATCAAGTCTCATATAAAATCACATAATATTTTCATATAATCTCCATTATACACATATACCTAAATCTACACATATACACATACCTTAGCCAATACACTCCCCTGCATACTTTATTTATTTATTTTTTGACAGGCAGACTTAGACAGTGAGAGAGAGAAACAGAGAGAAAGGTCTTCCTTTTGCCATTGGTTCATCCCCCAAATGGCCACCACGGCTGGCACACTGCGCAATCCGAAGCCAGGAGCCAGGTGCTTCCTCCTGGTCTCCCATGCGGGTGCAGGGCCCAAGCACTTGGGCCATCCTCCACTGCACTCCCGGTCCACAGCAGAGAGCTGGACTGGAAGAGGAGCAATCGGGACAGAATCCAGTGCCCCAACTGGGACTAGAACCCGGGGTGCCGGCGCCACAGGTGGAGGATTAGCCAAGTGAGCCGTGGCGACGGCCTCCCCTGCATACTTTAAATCACCTCTAGATTATTTATTAATGCCTAATACAATGTAAATGCTATGCAAATATTTGTTATAATGTATTTTTCGTAAATAATTGCAAAAACTAAGTCTATATGTGTTCAATACAGATGGTAATGATTTTCTGAATGCTTTTGATACACAGTAGATTGAACCAATTTATAAAGAACTCATGGATATGGAGAGAAAACTATACAAGCCTTTAACCATCCTGTTTAAGTTTAATCTTAATCATTATAATTGAGACATTGGTAGTTCTTATACTTTTCCTGTTTCAAACAGAATCATTTACTTTTTCAGTGTACATAGTCTATTTTATATATGTATTTTTTATAATTCTAGTGGTTCTTTTACAAATTTTATTCAAGTTATACAAGTTTCATATATTTCATGTATACAGATTTAGGAACATAGTGATACTTCCCACCCAACTCTCCCTCCCATCCATGCTCCAGCGTTTCTGATAATCACTATGTCATTCCTTTTCTGGGAAAGGATTGACGGTGTTCTCAGCATTCATCTTGGCTCTAGTCTCAGTTCTACCACTGAAATCCTGTGTCACCTCAAGCAAGCCCCTTCTATTCCATATATCATTAAAATATATGTAACATTAAGAGATGATGTTTGGACTAGAACAGTGATTTTTCAAATGTGTTTTATCATTCCTCATATGTGCTTCTGAGGATATGGAGACCATAATGGAAAGATCAAACAAGGGTTCTGCTTTTATCTGTTTAGTGTATTGGATTTAGGCATACAAATTTGTTTAAATTAATGCTATTTCTTTCTTTAAAAGTGAGAGGGATAGTTGAAATTCTAGGGCCCTCTAACTGTGCCGTTTAGGACTATATAGGGAGGAAATGTGTGATGAGGGAAGGATAGATTGGACAAAGGGCAGATACATTTGTGGAGGAAAGAAAGGGATGAGGCAAGGTAATAAAAGTCTAGCTAGCACGCTTGCCTGCATCCTTCATCCCTTGAAGACCTATAGAGTTTCTAGGTCCTTAGCCATCCTGTGAGCTCAGGAAGCATGTTGTTAACACTCAGACATTCTCATAACCACTTTATCGTAGAGAAATCCCCAGGTTTGTCACCCCCTCTGCCTCCAGTGACTGTCCCTGACGCCTGACTGAAAGGGTATATCACTAGAAGGAAAGTTATCACTATACTCTTATTTTATTTCTTCAGTTATTTTTTTTTTGAGTTTCAGATTAGCATGAAATACTTGTATATTTTATGGGGTATAGTGCAGTATTTCAACAAATATACATAGCATGAATCAATAGTACCAAGCAATTAACCCTCCAATTTCCTTTTTTTGTTTTTGTTTGTTTGTTTTTGACAGGCAGAGTGGACAGTGAGAGAGTGAGAGAGAGAGAGAGAGAGAGAGAGAGAGAGAGAAAGGTCTAAGGTCTTCCTTTACCGTTGGTTCACCCTCCAATGGCCACTGCGGCTGGTGCGCTGTGGCCGGTGCACTGTGCTGATCTGAAGCCAGGAGCCAGGTACTTCCTCCTGGTCTCCCATGTGGGTGCAGGGCCCAAGGACTTGGGCCATCCTCCACTGCACTCCTGGGCCATAGCAGAGAGCTGGACAGGAAGAGAAGAAACCAGGACAGAATCCAGTGCCCCAACCAGGACTAGAACCCGGTGTGCCAGCACCACAGGTGGAGGAATAGCCTATTGAGCGTGGTACCGGCCCCATTGTCTTTATCATAGATTATACTTACCCCACTGTTTTGTGGAACACTAGAACCCCTTATCTTCAGCTAACTGCATTGTCTTTGACTGGACATCTTTCATCCTAAGCATCTTCTTGCTTGACACATGCCTCAGATACTGATCATCTAGAGAAGACCCTAGATTGGTTTCACACAATAAGCAAGAAGCAAGAGAAAATATTTTAAAAATATATGGGAAGTCCTATTCTGAGGTTTTTCTTAACTTAAAAATATTATGTGGCAGATATTTAGCCTAGCAGTTAAGACAGCTGCATCCCACACAGAGTGCCTGGAGTGGAGTCTTTGTTCTGCTCCAGATTTCACCCTCCTAATCATGTGTAACCTGAGAGATGAAAAAGTGATGGTTAAGTGGTCGGGTTTCTGTCAGCCATGTGGGAGACCCCAACTGGGTTCCCTGCTCCCACCATCCTGGCAATTGTTTGCATTTTGTTAGAAAATCTCTCTGCCTATCTCTGTCTCTCTTCTTCTCGAATAAAAAGGAATTAAAATTTAAAAAATAATTATGATTTATAATATATAAACTAGAACATATAGTAGAATGTAATAAATAATTAGGCAATGAAAGAGTTGTGTAACCACTACCAAGTCAAGAAGAAGAACAATGCCAACATGTCAAAATTACCTTGTGTGTCCTTCCATTCACATCCTGATTCTTCCCTATTGTAGGTTAATTACTTTCCTAATTTTAACAGTAAGCATTTTTCTGCTATTCTTTATACTTTTAACATGTAAGTACACAATGTTTTTTTTTTCCCTATCCCTCTCTTCTTTTGGATTTTAGTAGTGAAAAACCCAAACTCTGATAACAGAAGGGAAGGCCTGGCTTGAAAGTCTATGCTGTTAGCTCTGTGACCTTGAGAAAGTTACTTCCCTTTGTATGTTACAGTTCATAATTAATGAGCTATCAATTTCTGTGTGATCTATCTCAGTGAGTCTAATGAGATCTGATAAGTGAATGTAAATACATTAGAATACTTGGCACATAGTTTGTGTTCTTTTTTTAAAAAAAGATTTATTGATTTATTTAAAAGGCAGAGTTGCAGAGAGGCAGAGGGAGAGACAGAAAGAGAGAGGTCTTCCATCCGCTGGTTCACCCCCAAGATGGCCTCAATGGCCAGAGCTGAGCCGATCCCAAGCCAGGAGTCAGGAGCTCCTTCTGGGTCTCCCACATGGTTGCAGGGGCCCAAGGACTTGGGCCATACTCTACTGCTTTCCCAGACCATAGCAGAGAGCTGGATCAGAAGAGGAGCAGCCAGCACTCGAACCAGTGACCATATGGAATGCCGGCACTGCAGGTGGCAGCTTTACCCACTACGCCACAGTGCCCGCTCCATTTTGTGTTCTTTAAATGGTTAGCTATTACCAATAGTCCAACAGAGTGAAAAGCAAAGTATATTCTGATCAGAGGGGACTAATGAGACAAGAAAAACATCAAAGGGAGGGGTGAGGTAGAGGGCTACCAGGACCCTGCCTAAAGGCATCATTCTTCTACAGGAAATGAAGCCGACTGTCAAACAAAATGGCAATAATGCCACAACAGATGATCATATTAGGAGTGACAGTAGCACCATGAATGACAGTGATATCAAGAGTTTCAGCAGCCTGACCAAGATTAACGAGATCGTGAACACCAGTGGAAACTCAAATGCTAGTGAAGTTACAACCACCAAGGAGAAAACAAGCAGTAGCAACATCAACAATGCCGGTATAGATGTAAACACCAAGACAGACATAAGCTTCAGTGAAGACATTGGTGCCTGTGGAATTGAGACTGACAGCAAGACCGCACATGCAACCAACACTATGATCTATGGTGATATCACCAGTGTCAACGACATCATGGGTGTCAGTGGGGGTTCAAGCACCTTTAGGAGCTTGAGCCTGAGCACCCTAAGCAGCATGAGCACCCTTGGGACTCTGAGTTCCAGTGGGAGTGTCAAACCACGGTCTACTGTTTTGGCCCTCAGCCGGGTCCTCAACCGATCACACTATATCTCCAGGTGAGCCTTATACTTGTTCATTCCTCCTGCCCTCCAGCTTCTTGGTTCACAAGCCTGTCTACTGGGGTCTGAGAAATGAAAGCCCAGCTTAGCAGAAAAATTTTATGGGAAATGCATCTTGGAAGTACCTTAATCAATGGATTAGGGCATTTTCACATACAATCTGTAAGGCAAATAATGAAAACCCTCAGGAAAAGGGAAGGCATAGAGAAGCCACCTGCTCCTAAGCACCCTGGTATCTGTCTAAACGTGGAAGATACTGAAGATATTTCATGCCTTTGTCCACTCACACTGTATCCAATCTAGGTAGAAGGAAGGGCTAATTTGGGAGGAAGGAAACTTGTTTTAGGATCCTTTTCCATCAGTACCAGCTGCCAGTCAGTGTTCCTGAACAGTAATGTGGAAACTATGCCCCTTATGACTTCCAATTTCAGGCCTCTTTAACTAACAATAAGTACAACTTCAGTTCATTCTCCTTTTTATCCCCATCTCTGTTTTTGTGGTACTGAACAAGCAGAGGGAAAAGCAATTTTTGGTGATGCCCTCACAGCACCCCTACCTAAATTCAGATCTGAGAGTAAATGTCTGCATGAGTTCTCTTCCTGAAAATTGACTGGTTGCTGAGTCAGGGCACCAGTCCTTCCACTCTTTCCCATTTCTGTGAACCATAAGGTCAGCAATTCAAGAGTCTAAAGAAGGGAAAGGATGAAGTCACGACTTGGCAGGAGAAAGATGTCACGTTTGGACAGGAAGGAAGAACTATTTATATTTAAGAATACTAGAGTGGGATTTATTGAGATGATATTTGAATTGGGTCCTAAAGGATGATCATATATTCCCTAGGTGGAGTGAAGTAGGGACAGATAGGCATACCAGGCAGAGGGACTACCATGTGCAATAGTCCAACCTAGGGGCATGAATCAGAAAAGAGCAGTAAGCAAGCAACTATAGTACAGGGTAAAAGCTTAGAAGGGGCAGGAGTAAATCAAATAAATCAGGAAAGTCTAGCAAGAGAGCCTGGATTGTATCATGAGTGTAAACAAAGAGGAAGTTAAGGATTTTTAAGCTAGAAAGAGGCATAATCAGAACCAAGGGCTGGAAGATGGAAATGCATCTGAAACTATCAGTAGTGTGGTCCTCCAGTGAATTTTTAAAAATATTTATTTGTTTGTTTGAAAGGCAGAGTTATAGAGAGGAAGAGGCAGGGGGAGAGGGGGAGAGGGGGAGAAGGGGAGAGGGGGAGAGGGGGAGAGGGGGAGGGGGGAGAGGGGGAGAGGGGGAGAGAGATCTTCCATCTGCTGGTTCACTCCCCAAATGGCCAGAATGGCTGGAGCTGTGCTGATTCTAAGCCAGAAGCCTGGAGCTTCTTCCAGGTTTCCCACATGGGTGCAGGGACCCAAGGACTTGGGATATCTCCTACTGCTTTCCCAGGCCATAGCAGAGAGCTGGATCGGAAGTGGAACAGCTGGGACTTGAACCAGTACCCATATGGAATGCTGGCACTTAAGGCAGCAGCTTTATCCATTGTGCCACAGTTCTGGCCCCCTGCCAGTGAATTTTTCTGCAGTGCCTGTCTCACTACTTCATGATGTATGGATTTTTCCCTTCCTATCTCCTTCTTCCCAGGGACCAACTCTGGGAGGCCAGTCAGCCAGGCAGTAGGGCTCTGGTGGGAGCTCTCCATGGACCCAACTCCACCTTCCTCATGGATGATGAGGCTGAACTCAACAATGGTGCACAGATCCAGTCGAGACATCTTATACTCTACAATGATACTCTCATCATTGCCAAGCCCAAGTAGGATATCCCCACCACACAGGATGGTAGTAGTGGACAGGGATGGGGGAGGCTGGAGTGGTTCTTTCTGCAAGAAGCCTTGGGGATATGGCAGAACTGCCTTTGGGAACTCTAATAGGCCAAAATATCCTCTCTGTAGTATGCCTAAAAGACAGACAATACTCCGTTTTAGCTAAGGAATATACAGAGAGGAGGCCTAACACCTAGGGCAGAAGAAAAGGCACAGGTTCCAGGCATTCATTAGAACGGGAAAGGGAAGGTCACAGGCAGAAAGCCACCCATTAGAGGGAGACCTCATGGCCCACTCCAGGGATGGTGGGAGGTGGGGAGCTGACTCCTTCCTGTAGTCCTAGACTGAGAGTTGCTGTGGACATAAATCCTAGGACCACCAACAGCCTAAAACTTAAGAAGCAGGTCCGTCTGAGTGAGGTGTGGGTTGCCTCCTGCCTAGATGAAGTGACAGTGAAGAAGATCTGCGCAGACACCTCCTTTGTGATTGGTTGGCCTACAACCAACAGTGTGGTCACCTTCTGGTAAGGCGGCCCTTGGCATCACTTTTTCTTCTGCATTAGCCCTTTCTTCTGACCTTATCCCTTCTTTTTAAACTGTTTAAAAATTACATGTTTACCCTATTGGGAAATATAACCACATACAGAAAATGTATAGATTGTCTATGTATAGTGTAATGAATGATTATAAAGGGGACACCCATAGAGCATTCTGTCCTGGCACACTCATATTTTTGTTATTGCAGGTAAGAGAAAAGACACACAACCACATTTGCATTATTGCAGCCAAGAGAAAAGACTCAGAACTAAAGGAAAAAAATACCTGCACTGATATCTGGTTTCAAAGAGCTACCCAGGCCTTCCTGCTTCATGAACCCACATCTGATTTATTGAGTTGCCATCAAAATTGTTTACCTAGTGGATATTTCATGAGTATTTTTAGGAAATTAAAAAACTGAAGCAGGGTCATACACTGAGACCCAATCATGCAGTCTTACAAGTGAATATGACGACCTACTCTATACACTGTTGCTTAACAAGACCATGTGAGCACAACCTCTTCAATGCTTATTCATGCACATTTGCATAGAACATGTATCCACACTAATTTATACTCCCATATATATGTGTACACACACAAATATACACACACACACATACACTGTGGATGTACACATGTCTGTTTCTGCATATTTATCTGTAGATACCTACTTACAACTATATTCACACGTTATTCCCACAATAATATATATACCTACATATGCCACACTACCACACTGACCCACATGTGTGTACAACAATGCCTACACAAATATCCACCCATATATGCAATTGAACATAATCTCTCTGTTCATATGCATACCATATATCACACATGCTCATATTTCACACATACTCACATTTCATGCCTACATACATATTCATACACATGGGCATAAACATATACCTAGATTCACAAACACAACCACACTGTAGTTCTTAGACAAACCCGTGCTTATATATTCACATACACATACACCTCCAACCACAGTCTATATATCTACACAAATGTGCTCATATACACACACTGAGTGTGCTCTATCATGGACACACACACACACTTCTGTGCACACACACACTCACACAGTTACTGCTACATACAAGCCCTGTGCAAGGTTTCCCTTTTATTTTGTTGGTCATTAAGAAGGAATTAGACATGAATCACTCAATCTGTCTCTCTGTGTCCCTCCCTAGATAAGAATTCTGGTTTTGTGTGTGTGTGTGTGTGTGTGTCTTGTCTTCTTAGTTCCCCGGAAATCAAGGAGCGCTGGTTTTCAGCTCTGCACCGGTAAGTTGTTCCCTCTTTTCCTTCTGCCCATCTTGGTCCTGTCCTCAAGCTGACCCAGAGTGGGATTGGCCATGCTAATTTCCCTCCAGTGCAGGCCTCTGGAGGGCCCATTATTTCTGCGGTTTAGAAAATTTCACAGGATCCTCAACTACAAGACCAGGAAATTCTTTTCAATCCCTCACTTTGCTCCAGTTAGCCCCGGATAAACTATGTAAATTGATGGTAGTACTTTAGGGTCTCAAGGAAAAGTGATTCTATTGCTTTCTAAAGAGTATAACAGCCCTCACTTCCAGGAGGCTTACTCTCAAGTCTGATTTAAATCCTCAGTCTCCAGCCAAGGTCTATTTCTTCTCTAACTGTGTATGTCGAGATGGAAACTAGCTGCCAATCTCCATTACATAAATGCAGTAGACTAAAACACTGTTAATATTTAGGCCTGGTCATATATCAGAAACAATAATTATCCAATATTTGTGGGACACTTATAGTTATTTGTTGGATCAGATGAAAATAGAGACCTCTTAGCCAGACAAGAGCATCCATCCTGCAACTTAACCTCCTTCAGCTCTCAAACCCAGCATGTATCCCTTCTGCTTGGTAACAGAGACTTTGAAACCTTCACTCTGAAACACAGGAGATACACCCTTTAACATAGTTGCCCTAAGGATTTGCATTTTCCAAGGGGAGTCCATAGAGGCCAGGGCATGAAACAAAAACTGATATTCAAGTGTGAGATGGATGGGATTTGAGAGACTACAAGAGACATTCCTTGTCCCCCACAATGCCCTCCACCTTGACTAGCCCTATGTGGCTCTTGGTCAGCATTGATAGCTAAGTCCCTGCTTTCTGTATTCCCACTCGCCTCCCCCACCCCACACCCTTCACCCACCTCTCCACACAGTAACATCCAAGAGCAGAAGCAGAATGATTTTCCAAAGAACATGACTCTTAAGATTCTGCTGATGGAGGTTGATGAACTCGCTTCAGTAAGTCCCACTGACTCTCTACTCGTGAGTGCCCCTGGAAGTACAGGTTGGTGGGCAGGGGAAATCAAAGCTTTGGAGATCTCTTTAAGGAATGCATGCCTGGATAACAACCCACTGCCTTCCCAAGTTCTCCAGTTTATCCTCTGTGTATACTATCACCCCAATGCGACCCAGTTCTTGCCTCCACAAAGATTACAATGACATGCTGTAATCTGAGCTGGTAATCTGTTTTTCACCTTGAACTACATCTCACCAGAAGACTTTTCCTGGGAAAATATTAGCTGTCTAAGCCAATTATCAGCTCATAATTTCTCCACCTGAGAATTTCTCCTGGCCTAATTACCCCCTGGCCTTTCCTGGTCCTTGCTGTTGGCCTCTGTGAATGTGCAAGGCAATTGGTTGGTCTGTGGGGTCCCAGGCATCTTCATCATGCCATCATCCAGCCCCTGGGAGAACATAGCAGTAGTGCTGGCTAACATGGCTGACCTGGTACTCCACTTGTTCCCTCTAATGAGTTCATATATTAATCCTACAATTCCTGATGTGTTCTCTATCTAGACTACTATAATAACTGTCACCAACACTGAGACCACCGAGAAGGTCATTGGGAGGGCAGTGTATCAGCTGGGACTTTCTGTAAGTAGATTCTAGTTTTGGTAAATTAGGCCCAATGTTCAACAGGTACCTCTGATGTGCCAGAAGTTGGGGTGGGTGGTGGATAGAGAAAGCATGGTTCAGTTCTGGCCCTGGTCTGTGCACTTTAGAACCTTTCTGGAAATGGTAGGAGGTAAATAAATCAAGTCTACACAGAACACAAGACAAGATTAAAAGTGCTAAGTTGCCTACAAAGAGCCTAGATATATTACTGTGGAAGATTGGGAGAGGGAAAGTTCACTCTCAGCTTAGAGTCTGTTGCAGCAGGAAGGAGGGTAGCTGAAGGAGAGCCTCGTGGAAGCAGTGTCAATTGAGAAGAATTTTGGAGGGTAGAAAGGATTTTTTTCAGGAGGAAAAGCGGGGAGGGGGGTGCATTCTGGGTGGAGGCAGCCACTTCAGTAGTGAGGTAGAGTTGAGGAAGTATGGGAAGCAGAAATGAAGAACACTAAGTAGATTTAAAATGTCACTATATGTCCCAGAGTTATAATGGTCAAGCAAAGAGAGAGAGAGACAGAGAGAGAAAGAGAGAGAGATGTTTCATGATCAGACCAAGATGGGCGTATGAATACCAGTATAAAGAATTTGGACTTGATCCATGACACATGCAGATAATAAGAGCCACTGCTTTTTGAGCAGGAAAGTGACATGATTGGAGTTGCACCTTGGGAAAGGCCTGTAATGCGTGGAGTTGGCATCCAAAGTGAGAAGGGGTTAGGTTAAGTCCAAACCCTGTCTCTGAGGCTGCAATTTCCTCTATAAGCTCATGGGCCCAAAGCAGTTTACAGACCCTGGTAGGAAGCCCTGATGTGTATATGTGTTTGAGGGGTGTGTGCATGTGCATGAGCACACTTCTATGTGTATCCCTGCTAGTATATGTATATGTATGTGTACCTAAGCATGTACTTGCATGGCCTGTATGATGGTTTATCAGTATGGATGCATGTATAAATAAAATGCTTGGGCATCTCTCTGTACATATGCATGCTTGTTTTTGTATATGTGCATGTGCTTACCATGTAGGGGTATGTGGGAGTATCCAAGTAGGAAGACGTGTGTGTAGTTGTGTGAATGTCTTAAAAATTTCCATATGCATGTGCCATGTTGATATCTAAATTTGTGTGCCTATACTCATGTATGTGAGTGTATGTGAGTAAGTATCTTATCTTGATACACAGTTAAGCTTTGATTATCTGCAGAGTAGCCCCTTTTGGATTACACAGGATGGATTTTCAGTCCCAGGCTGGTCTTCCCCACACCACCCAGCACCCTCCTGACCCACTTCTGTCCACTGCCAGCTGCTGAGGGAATATACATCCATTTTATTTTATGCTTCCACAAAACAGATTTGGAAAGGTAAAACACCCTAGGGTACACACTTGAGGTCTGGGAGACCTTAATTTGGGACCTCCAAACAAATTAGGGAACTAAGGCTTCTTTAAGTTAAGTTGGAAGAAAGCTCCAAATAAATATTGGGCCAAGTTAGAGTTGGTCGGTAGGCAAGGCCTGCGGGTTCTATTATTCATATGTATGAGGGGTGGGGAACAGGCTGGGAAGCCCTGGTAAAAATGAGGAAAAGCCAATGTGGTATTCATACATGACTGAAAGAGAAAACCATAAAGTTCAGTCAGCACTTGACATGCCCTCCCTAGGAGTGTGACACCTGGTCTCCACTCACCAGTGACATCGAGATGCCAGTACACAGGTCCTTGACACTTACCCCTTGCCCTATATTTAGATTTGACCCTCCTCTCAACATTCCCACAACCCTGATTCTCACCATTGCCCCAGCTTTGTTCCCCTCAACACCACCACAGCACCCCTATGATAGACAAACAGCCTCCCCAATCTCCAGAACTTATAAAAATGTTACCTGGGGCCGGCACCATGGCGTTGCGGGTGAATCTGCTGCCAGCAGTGCCGGCATCCCGTGTGTGCATGCTGGTTCGAGTCCCAGCTGCTCCACTTCCTATCCAGCTCTCTGCTATGGCCTGGGAAATCAGAAGATGGCCTAGGTCCTTGGACCCCTGCGCCCATGTGGGAGACCTGGAGGGAGCTCCTGGCTCCTGGCTTGGGATCAGCACAGCTCTGGCTGCTGCAGCCATCTGGGGAGTGAGCCAGTAGATGGAAGAGTTCTCTCTCTCTGCCTCTGCCTCTAACTCTAACTCTAACTCTGCCTTTCAAATAAATAAATCAAAACAAACAAAAAAAACAAAAACAAACAAACAATAACAACAACAAAAAAAATGTTACCCTGCATGGTGGCAAAAGAGACTTCACAGGTGTGATTAAATTAACTTCTTACAATAAGGGGGTGGTCTGGGTGGGCCCAATGTAATCATAAAGTTCCTTGTAAGTGGGAGGCAAGAGAATCAAAGTGAGAAAAAAATAGTATGAAGATGTAAACAGAGAGATAGAGAAGAGAGATTGGAAAATGTTATGGCTATGATGCTGACTTTGATGATTAAGGAAGGGGCCACCAACCAAGGAATGTAGGCATCTTCTCAAAGCTGGAAAAGGCAAGGACATGGATTCTACCCTAGAGCCTCCAGAAGGAGTGCAGCTCTTCCCAACCTTTTTAGACTTCTGACCTCCAGAACTGTAAGAGAATGCATTTACATTGTTTTAAACCACTGAATTTGTGGTGCTTTGTTAGAGCAACATTAATTCAATATTGCCTGGGCCCTCCCTTCTCAGAATGTTCCCAGACCCTTCTCCCACTTATCTCAGGGGAATTATCTAAGTCCATGTCCTCTCAATATTATTCTTGGCCCTAAACTTGAATATTGCCCTGCTCCTACCCCAGCCCTACCCTGCCTTGGTTTCCTTAGTGGTCCCCCAGGCGCAACCCTGATCTTCTCTGGTGACCTTGGTTCAGTGTCCTCCCTGAAGACTCCTGCAGTCTTCAGAGCTTTGTGGGGAAGGATGTGGGAGAAGCATGAGTGCTTTTCCCAGGCACCATCAGGGCCTGTGAAGGTTTTGGAAGCTGAAGAGAGGGCACACCTGACATGCTCCAGCCTGATGTATTTACACGTACCTCCCCTTCACATTATCATCTTGCCCTTGTCCTTCCTTAGGGCCAAACCAGTGATTTCCTGCTGTGGGTGAATTCATCAAAGGAGGCCCTGTCTTATCCACTCATTGGTAAGGTCTCAGTTCTCTGAGGGTTTGAGCCAGGTTCCATCTTACTCTGTAGTTCTTGGCAGCCTAAGGTCTATGTTCAGTAGACTCCTGGATGCAATTATCACTGACTTAAACATAAGAGAGGTGCTTTGGGAGAGGAGGCCATAGAGTGGTCTGCAAATACAGGGAGATGCAAGGTTCATACACTGGGCGTCTGAAAGACTAAGCCATGTTCAGGACAAAGAGAAATGGGTTTACATTCTAGTGGCCGGGATTAAAGACAGATATCCAGAAGATTCCCTGACCATTAACTTTGTTTAAAATAAGTTTTTCCCGAGCCAACTTCCAAAGAATAAGTTTCTACAGATGTTCCTTGTTGTTTTGTGGGTAAGGGGATGGGGAGTTGTTCAGTGGCCAAGTGAATTCAGAGCTTATGGTTTAAGACAGTGGAATTGGTTTCTTTTCTGTAGGACTCACTGAGCCATGAATGTAGTAACATGTGTGCCAAGGGGACCTGTAAAGAATGCAGTATTTCCCAATTCATTTAACTGAGAATCCTGGAGGCTACTGCTGTTTATCAAACACAGTTTGTGGAATAATCTTTGAAACCACTGAAAACAAGTGACATGAAAAGGAACCACACTAGTCTTTCCTCATTCCAGAAACCCAAATTATGGGATCAACCAATAAATCCCCTGAATCAGCTGCATTCTGGCCAACTGGAAGGTGGCCACAAAAGGGAAACCAAGACAGGGCAAGAGAAGAGCCAGCCCAAAAAACAAACTCTGTTGCCATAAACTTCTCTAAACCAAGCTAAATAATTCCAGATAATAATAATCCCAGATCTAGTCTCTGTTCTGGGACTCTGTAAAAAATGTTATTCTTTGTGTTCTCTGGCATATTTACAGCTAGAGCCCACTGAGGTTATCTCTCAGGGCTTAGCACAACCTGACTTACAGCTCTAAGGTTTTGAAAGGGAACTGTGGGCCCAGAAAGGTTAATACACATACCATTAGATACACAAGGAATTGAGCACCAAAAAAGCCTTGATATCTACATCTTGTAAAGATCCTTTAGATCTAGACTGGCAGATGTGCAGAATGAGTTCCCATGCCCCCCCTACTAATGGCAGAAATCACAGATCATAGTGCTATTTCCCTTTGCGTCTGTACACAACTTCAGAATCCTTCTCCAGACCTTCAGATAGTTGTTACCCATTGATCAGAGAGGACAAATGAATTGAAATCTCTCAGCCACTTCCTCCCTAGAGAAAATCCTTCCACCAAAGTTTGAATGGGGTAGGGAAAATACTGGAAAGAAACAGTGGGTAAGCAAGGACTGCTGGGGCAAAGGGTATGTGTCTCTCTTTTCTTTCTAGGCCATGAGAGCCTATACAGCATTGCCCAAACCAACCTGCGCCATACGCCCCAGCATACCACCCTCAGGACCACTGAGGACTGCCCTGACCCCACATCTCTCAACAAGGTGCCTGAGAAGAAACAGTATAAATTTATATTGAAGCACAAGAGTGAACTACCCAGTGTACTGGAAAGAGGTAAGAGCTGGGTCCCTGGTATCAAGCTCTGTGTGGCCTCTGGGAATCCAGAAACAATATGTGGGCTCTTTGATCCAGACGCTCTATGTAGGGAAATAAACACATTTTTTTTCCTCTCTACTCACTACTCAACACACTCACAGCATGTTTTTGTGACCGGAGGTGTGGGTGTTTTCACCACACATCAAGTAATTCTCCAGCCAATACTGACCGGGTGTCCTATCATTCAATTCTTTCTACCTGAAGGTAGTGTCAAAGCTCACAAGTTAAGGTCTCAGTCCCACAAGACTGCCCAACTAGGATCCAAATACATTCCCAGGTTGTAACCTGTATTTCTGATCAAGTGGATACAAACGTGTTCCTACGACCCCCTCCTTGTATCCAATTAAATTGCAAGGATGGCTCACAAACCTCAGGCAAACACTTACTTACATTTGCCAGTTTATTATAAATAATATTATAGGGGCCAGCGCTGTGGTGTATCAGGTAAAGCCACCACCTGCAGTGCCATCATCCCAGATGGGTGCCAGTTTGAGTGCCAGCTAGTCCACTTCTGATCCAGCTCCCTGCTAACGTGCCTGGAAAAGCGGCAGAGGATGGTCCAAGTCCTTGGACCCCTGCACTCATAGTGGGAGACCCAGAGGAAGACCTCTCTCTCTCTCTCTCCTTTCTCTCTCTGCAACTCTGTCCTTCAAATAAAATAAACAAAACTTTTTTTTAAAAAAAAATAAGAATATGATAAGGGATACAGTTGCAGAAATACAAAAGGTGAGGTATGGAGTAGAGGATGTGAAGCTTCTATGCCCTATCTGGGCCTAGCACCTTCACGTGTTTGTAAACTAGTAAGGTCAATCAATCTTCGTTCAATAGTTTTTTAAATAGAGCTGGATTTCTAGTCCCCCCCTTTCCCCTTTCCAGAGGCAAATGGGTAGGGCTGAAAGTTCCAACCCTCTAATCCTGTAATCCTTTGGTCCTTCTGGTGACCAGCCCCATGCTGAACCTATCTAAGGGACCCACCCTAAGTCATCTTGTAAGCATGAACTCATAGTTATCAAAATGGACTGATTCTGAAAAGCAAGAGACACTTCTATCACTCAGAAAATTCCAGGGGTTTTAGGGACTTTATGAAAGGAACTGGGGACAAAGACCAAGTAGGAGCAGGCATTTCACATTTTTTGCACCAACCTAAATTTATCTGTTAAGTCCATTTTCCACAAACTTTTTGAAGCACTCTCATTTATTTCACTTTATACTACATCCTCCCTGGCTCTTTCCTCTTTGGTGTCTCCAGCCTCTGTCCTTATCCCCATAGTGCCCACATAGTGCCCAGTATCCGTCACCAAACCCCTCCAATGTCTTGTGTCGGGGGGGGGTAAAATACCAATCCTACATGACCTAATTGTAACTCTTCACCCCACCCCCTTCCCACCCATAGAACTTAGTGAGAAGAAAAGCCTGAAGAAAAGGAAATCTCTGTTGTACTGGGCCCTGCAGAAAAATGCAAGTCTAACCTTAGAAAGTTCCATGGTGCAATCACCAGAAGAAGAGCCTGATCACAAGCTCTTTGGCCTGGATCTATCCACACTGTGCAGATCAGGCTGCCTTCCCAAGCCTATCATGGTAAGTCACTTTTAGTTGCCAGTGTAAAAGATACAACCCAAAGGTTGGACCTAGGCAACCCTCAAGATTCCAAAGCTATTTTAGATAAAGGCTCAGTTGCTTTATACATCTTCTTTCTGCTTTACAGGGAAGGCTACCCCATCCTAACAGGGCATCCAAACTCCCCCCCACATCCCACTCTGGTGCCTTATCCAATGGCTTTGCCCCAGCAGGACATACCCATCTTCTTAGCTGAGAGCTCTCCAGCTTGACTTAACATCCAACTAATGCTTAGATGTGACAGGCAACTTCTTTTAGCATGTGCTCTGATGGAGATTGTCAGTATTCCCTAATCACCACACTATTCCTTATACTGGTCAAACCAAGACAGAGAAACTTGTCTGGGATGTTAGGAAGTAGTGTTCTGCAGAGTGTAAGAGACTTGTCTAGGGTTCCCTATAATGTAGAGAAGGTATATGGGGGTCTGGGAAGGTTAGGGCAAGTGTATTCTCATGCCCCAGGAAACCTTGGGAATTGGGTTAGAGGGCATTGAGGGCCCCAGCCAGACATTTTGGGATCTTTCTAGGACATGCTGATGCTCTTATACAAGGAGGGTCCAACCACTCCTGGCATTTTCCGCCGCTCAGCCAATGCCAAAACTTGTAAGGAGATAAAGGAGAAGCTGAATTCTGGGGCCCCCGTATCGATGGCTGGAGAGTCAGTGTTCGTGTCTGCATCTGTCTTGACTGTAAGTCTCTTTTACGGATATGTGGTCCACTCCAACATTCAAAGGAATGCCATTGGGCAGGCGCCGCGGCTCAATAGGCTAATCCTCTGCCTGCGGCGCTGGCACACCGGGTTCTAGTCCCATTTGGGGCGCCAGTTCTGTCCCGGTTGCCCCTCTTCCAGGCCAGCTCTCTGCTATGGCCCAGAAGTGCAGTGGACGATGGCCCAAGTGCTTGGGCCCTGCACCCGCATGGCAGACCAGGAGAAGCACCTGGCTCCTGGCTTCAGATCAGCACAGTGCACCGGCCGCAAAGCGCTGGCCGCAGCAGCCGTTGGCGGGTGAACCAACAGAAAAAGGAAGACCTTTCTCTCTGTCTCTCTCTCTGTCCACTCTGCCTGTCAAAAAAAAAAAAAAAAAAGGAATGCCAGCAAGAAACCAAGACACCCGTTACTTCCAGGCACTTGGCCCTGAACCTCATAAAAGCTGCTCATGTAGGTCACAACTGTTGCCTGAACCAAGCCTCAGAAACTCAGGTGGTAGAGGGTGGGAATCCTTGGCGGTAACCATGGCAGGGGGTATCACGGGCTAGAAGGGCATCCATTTATTCATTAGCTGTTCCTTTAGTGGTTGTGGGCCTGCATCAAGAAGATATATATTTTCTAAGAGTGAATTTTCATTCAGGAATTCCTGCGCAACATACCTGACAGCGTGCTGTCCTCAGGCATGCATAGCCAGTGGATGACAGCCATGCAGGGGCGCACTAAACAGCAGAAAGTCCATTCTCTCCAGAGGTAAGACCCCTTGTTCAAGGCTCCACCCTGGGACTTGGGGAAGGTCAAGAGTTATGCAGATGAAGAAAGGAAGAAAAGGAGAAGGAATGTCAGTTCTCAGTAATTCAGATATTCTCCAACCAGGGCTCTTCATGTAGCATACGTGGTTCCACTTCAAGCTCTGCCCCAAGTAGTTGTGTGCCCTTAGTCAAGTGACTTCCCTGCTTTGGATTCCAATGTCCTTTTCCTGCATAGAAGGAGAGTGAGGAGATTCTCTAAGGTTCCAGTTATTAATAGTGCTCTGACAAAATTAGCCAAACAAGGAGAAAAGGCTTAACAAAGTTGTCCCTGCCTCCCAACATGCAAAGACCCACACACATGTGTGCACATACACACACACACACATACACACACACAGAGGAAATTGTGCTTTCTTGGATTGTCCCCCATCCTCTGGGTATCATAACTCATCCACTTGTCAGACTGGTAGCTCAGCTTCCTGAAGGCAATCGCCTGCTGCTAAAGTACCTCTTTGGTGTCCTGGATCACATTGTGGCCAACTCTGAGGAGAACCAGATGACAGCGTTCAACCTCGCTCTGTGTGTTGCACCCAACATGCTGTGGTTGCCCAACCCTAAAAGACCAGAGGATGAGAGCCGGAACATGGGCAAGGTAAGGCATCCACTGCTTCTCTCCTCATTGGCCTCCATAAGGCATCTTTCTATTTACAAACCTTGCCCAGCCCCATGTCAGGAACAGAGCACAGGCTGGGCCTGGGAAGCATCCTGGAAATTCATCACTTACTGTGTGAGTTCTGAAAGTCAGGAGACCTTACTGAGCCATAATTTCTCTCTCTTTCTTTCTCTCTCTCTCTCTCTGAAATGCTCCTTACATTAGCGTTTATCATGGGAAAAAAGAGAATGCAGCTATAAAAGGGCTTTGAAACTCTAAAGTGCCGAACAAGTAAAAAGGAAGATGATTATTTTTGGCTCACCTACCAGATTGTTAATTTCCCGAAGCCAAGAATCCTGCTTTTGTTTCTTTGGCTCCCCAAACCCTCACCTTGCACCAAGCACAGAGCAAGCACCCTGTGCATATTTGACACGTGGAGGGATAATTGTTGTAGAACAAAATGAGCCAACTACTGACTGGCTGTGTGACCTTGGATAAGTCATTTAATTTTCCTGTCTCTCTTTTCATGTCAAATTGGAATAGTAAGAGTGTTTGAAATTTCACACAGCTGCTGAAAAACCCTTTTCTGGTTCTTTTGCCTGGTATCTAAGGGGCTTGGATTTTACCTGAGAGGAGACAAGCGGTCCTTAATTCTTGAGCAGCTCCTCACAGTCGGGCTCCCTTCCAGGCCTATCCTCTGACCACAGGCCTTGCCCTCAGGTGACCCAGCTGGTTCAGTTCCTGATTGAAAATACTCCTGAAATCTTTGGAGAAGATATCCCTGTGCTGTTACTGAGAGCTCAAGCTGAAAGTGCCAGTGGTGCTGAAGATAAACCAGGTAAAAGAGAAGCTCAGTATCCCTCAGGGCCAGGGAACTTTATCTTCAATGCATGGTGCACTGAAAAAATATGCTAGACTGAGATCAAGGAGAGCAGAACTGAGTGCTAACACCAGCTTCATCACTCTACGGTGTTGGGAAAGGCCCTTCTCTCTGCTGAGCCTTTGCTTCTGACATGTGAGCAATTGGGAAAAAGCACAACTACCACCCAAAATGGAATTGCATGGTGATTTGATATGTGGAGGGAATGTGTGTCCCAGAGAAGGCATTTTAGCCCCATCCCTACTCATTTTGCTTCTTCCTAAAGGAAGTGATGAGAAGTGCTGTAACACAGATAAGCAAAGGCATAACTTTGCAAAGGACGCTGCTCCAACAGGCAGGGAAGCATGAGTAGAACAGGCTCTATTTGTTTCTGCTGGGAACTACGGGCAACAGCTGAGGGAGTGCTGGTAGCAGAGTGTCATCAGCTGGTGGTCAGCCCGGGTGCCTCAGAAATGGCTCTTATTTCTGACCATGGCTGGTCCTGGGAGTAGAAAAGGCTATAGAGTTCATCTTCTCAACACATAGACATGCCCACATAAGCACAAACTAAAGCAGCATAGATATCACAGGGAGCAGAGGCTTCAAAAACATCATGGAAAATGAAATCAGAAGATAAGTTTATTTTGGTGCAAAAATGTTTGAAATCCATACACATGAAGGGTCTTAAATATGTTCATGGAAATGTGTATTATGAAAACACTATACAGACATTTCACAAATTTTTCTACCAAAATAAACTTGGATTTTCATTCCACTTTTCCACAGACCTTTTGAGATACACTTGTACGTCCTGAACCATTAAGTCCCATTCCCATTTAACCTATGCCTATTAGAACTTGTAAATTTGCCTTCTCAGCTCAGCTTCTCCCTTTTCTGTGGTCTCATCCTTATGCTGTGATACCCACGCTTGATTTTGCCCTAATAGTCACTATGCTCTACTTCCCTTTCTGGTACATCATTCAGAACATGGTCTGGATTTGAACTCCAGCTCTGAAACCTCCTGAGTATGTTACCTAGGGCAAGTGACATCACCTCACTGAGCCTAGGTATCCTTGTCTGAGAAATTAGGAGAAAGATGCTAATGCTGAGGTGTGAGCATTTTTAATTGAATGAGAATAAAGTAGCTGATGTAGCCTGGGTGCTAGAAGGGGCTTAGTGGAAAGAGAATTGTCTCCTTTCTCCTCCTTTCATGCATGTATCAGATGCTATTCTGAGTGAAGAAGAGAAAGGGTTATCATCACAAGGGCTGGACTTTAGGCTCCCATACCCAGTTATACCACTATCTTTTTTGTGTGTGTATTTTGCTGAACTGAACAAAGGTTAGGGCTTATTGAAAAAGATATACACACAGCTTTGGGAAAAAGCCGACCCTTCAAGGAGTTAGAGCCTATGTCTCACAGACCTATTATTCCAGAGAAGTTTAGAGCTGGGAATTTCCTTAGAGTTTCTAGGAAGAAAGGAAACTTAACTCACCCAGAAAATCAATGGTTAGTTCCAGTGCCCAGGAAGTGCCATCTCCCTCCAGGGAGACCATGACCCTGTCCCTCAGTGTCTTTATCTCTTCCTCACTTCTTCCTCCCACAGACTTGGAATGTATTATGTCTCATGATTTATGGGATGCACTTAGCTCTGTGCGGTTGGCCTAGCCCACAAAGCAGAGGTCATGGTGGGACGGGGGCATACTGGAACCCAAGAAAGAGAGAGATATTAATAGTGCTTGGAGGCTTGCTTAGCAGTGTGGGCAGGACCTGAAACATGCTTTTGCCTGCCTATACCCAGTATATCACTGAACCCAATACCCTGGTTCTGACAAAATCTCATGGTTTACTCCTCCAGTTCTGATGCCACCCTCACTTGGACTCCACATACCTTTCATATGATTGCCTCTGTGGCAACTACTATAGCACCACAAGTTCCTAGACAAGGGCTTGGATTCCATGCTTCTCCAGAAGGTGGCCCACATTAAGTTATCTGGGGATGTCCACAGAGAGCAATATTACCTGTCAACCTCCTCAGTCCCTTTTACCTTCCTAATTAACCCCCAGACAGCTCTTGTTCCTAGTGGTCTGGGCCATCTTTCGTCATCTCTATGGCTATACTTACCTTGCTCTTCAAGTTAGACATACCAACCAGGGTCAATGTCTCATCTTCTCAGTTCTGTCAAGCATGCCATCCATCTGAGAGGGACCAGCAACTATTATTGTTCCCAGGGCCTACCTGCCTTTGAAACTGTAACTGTGTCCTGAGGAAGCTGAAGATGGTATCAGTCCCACAGTGAGAAGACTATGGAAGCCTAGAGTATGCTGAGCACCCACACATCCACTAAATAGAAGTAGTGAAGAACTAAAAGAATATTTTTGAAGGGGCTTCTGTAACCAAGTCACCTGACTGTAGTTGATTAGCCCAGAAGGACACCCAGAAAGCAGCAGAAAACCCATCTGGAGATGCCTGAGAAATTAATCAAAACAGGGACTGCTTTTGAAGTAGAATGCCTGGACAAGGAAGGACATAACTGCACTCAGAACACTTGCTGTTTGGCCCCTGGGTAGGGGAAGGTTAGGATCAAGACTTAGATGCCCTGAAGAACCAAGCACTCACTCTCAGATGATGTAGTGTGCTATAGACAAGACAGGCCTCTGGAGCCTACAGATGTGACTCCCAAAATGGAGTCGTGTGACTCTGAGCCAACAGTGACATCCCTAGCCTTCCTTAATAGTATTTTCTATACTACTGTCCACATGAACTGGATCAAGAGTGCTTCCAGCATGTGTGCTTTTTCTTACTTAAGTCAATCCCTGCTCTCATCCCTGTTGTGGAGAGCCAGATGATTCTTGATTTAGTCCAGTACTAGTGAGACCCTAAGGTATCAGGTAGCCGAAACCTTTCATGAAACCCAAGGTACTATGAATGAAATTGTCATCTGATAAGAAGGAGGAATGAGGGCCATAGAAGGAGAAGCGGAAATGATGCAGAGAACAGATCAGGAGCCAATAACATTGGTGCTTGGTTCAGTTGGGTTGCTGCCTCAGTTTGGATCTTTGCTGCAAAACTAGAATTCTTTTGAGCTATTTCAGAAGTTTTTGAGGTCTCACTGTTTCTTCCTGGTTTCTGGGACTTGCATCGAATAATGATGGCAAAGTGACTTCCTCCATAATGACTGGAAGTTTCTGGTAGAAAGGGCGTCTCTCCAGGAGTACTTGAATTTAGAGGGATGAATCAGGAAAAATATCCTTAATCTCTCTTTTGGCTATACAGGGAGAGGTAAGGAGGGCATTTTCAGAAGCCAGAAGGAGTGTCTGAGGGATTTGGGTAAGTAATGGAAATGACAGAGAAGGTGATAACAGAAGAGATCCTTGTAATGTGGAAAACAGGAGAAGAAAGGACATAAGGCCTATTGAATCTCCTTCATGTAAAAGCCTCCCATAAGGGCTTCCCTGAGCCCAACTAAATGTGAGAGCACAAAGAGGAGGGGGGTACCTTACTCTTTGCTGTGAACAAGGAAGCCAAGCTATTGGGATATTAGGTATGAAGCCAGAAGCGATAAAGAGACCCAGAGAGAAGATAGAAAAGATCAGAGAGACAGCCTTGAAGACACATTGTTCCCATAGCCATCAAAATAATGAACAAACAGAGAATTGAGGCTAGAATTCCAGTCATTACACATGCTGAGGCTCACAAACACAAAGAACCCTGGTTCTTTGTGGGCCCAATAAATAGCAAATAAGCCCTTATTAGCCTTCCTCCTACTCCTCCCAGCCAGTAGAAGCCAATACATTGTACTACACATATTCCTGAAAAACAGCCAAGGATCACTGGCAACAGAGGCTTAAAATTTCAGATCATCTGAATCTCCCTCTTTCCATTGGTCATTCGAAGGTAAATATCTTCTGTGGGTTATTGCATAGAATTAATAGTAAAAAATTATCCACCAGTGTGCTAGGTGGCTCTGCATCTGCTGTCCCAATGTGCTCTTATCATTTATATTTTCTGAGACAGCATGTTTTGCAAAGACTGAATGTCACTAACAAAATATTTACCCTGTGATGGGAGACTGGTGAGAGGTCATGAGGATGCAATGCAAACACAGCCTCAGGCTCCAGCACCAGGGCCTCTCCCATTTTATCCATTGTTCTCCCCCATACCCATGCCAATACTCAAAGTTAGTTCACTGCTGTACTTTCATAGTTCTCTCTTCCTACTACACTGTGGCTCTGCCCTCTGTTTCCTAGAAATTTCTCAGTTTTTACCAACATCCAGTGTGAATGCCAGTGTTACCTGGAGATCATATCAGAAATATCTTTACTTTTTTTGTTTACTTGTAAACAACTCTCTTCTTATTGGAATTGAAGTTTGCTCATCTGGAGATTGTGAATAATAATCTCCATCTTGCCACCATATATGAGTAGTGAGAGTTGAGTTCTAGAAAAGAAACACTTGTTAAAATCTATCCATGATGGGTCAAGTATCAAGGGTGTAGAAATAAAACAACCATTTTCTTTGCTCTGAGAAAGCTATCAGTTTGATTGGAGGATTAAACGAAAGACAACCAAGAAGGCAAAATGTTGTGGAGGTTGACTGGGTCAGGCTTCTGAAAGCTTCAGAAGTTTCTAGAAAGGAGTGAAAGTCAAAAACCAGTAGAAGCTACTGCTAGGAAGATATCTTCACTTCCTGACTCTCAAGCAATTTCTTTTAAGATTTATGTTATTTATTTGAAAGACAGAGTTACAGAGAGAGGCAGAGCCAGAGAGAGAAAGGTCTTCCATCCTCTGGTTCACTCCCCAAACGGCTGCCATGGCAGAGGCTGGGCTGATCTGAGGCCAGGAGCCAGGAGCTTCTTCTGGGTCTCCCATGTGGGTGCAGGGACCCAAGGACTCAGGCCATCCTCTGCTACTTTCCCAGCTGCATTAGCAGGGAGCTGGATCAGAAATGGAGCAGCTGGGACTAAAACTGGTGCCCATGTGAGATGCCAATGCTGCAGGCCGGGGCTTTAACCTGCTGTGCCACAGTGCCGGCCCCTCCCCAATTTCAAAACAGGTTCCCTTCACTGCAAGTCCTCTCACTGCTGGGAGGTTGGGTGGGGGTTAAGCAAACTCAGGTAGTATCTGAGGTCCACTATTTTAGGCATTCAAGCTTTGGCCTATTCATTGGGGAATCTGGAAGGTCAGGCTGCCCATAGTCTTGATCATATCTAACTGACAGGCAAGGTGATCTATAGTGAAAAAGCAGTGGGGCAGGAGGAAACCACTGAACTGAGGAGATGGGTACTAGATCTAGCTCTGTCTCTAAAGCAATATAAGCACCTCTGGGCTTGTATCACCAGTTAGCAGGGCAACTTGAGCCATAGCTCATGGTTTTTTTTTTAAAGATGTATTTATTTATTTGAAAGAGTTACACATAGAGAGAAGGAGAGGCAGAGAGAGAGAGAGAGAGGTCTTCCATCCACTGGTTCACTCCCCAGTTGGCCGCAACGACTGGAGCTGTGCCGATCGGAAGCCAGGAGCCAGGAGCCTCCTCCAGGTCTCTCATGTGGGTGCAGGGGCCCAAATGACTTGGGGCATCTACTGCTTTCCCAGGCCACAGCAGAAAGCTGAATTGGAAGTGGAGCAGCCGGGACCTGAACCAGTGCCCATACGGGATGCCGGCACCTCAGGCCAGGGCTTTAACCCACTGTGCCACAGCGCTGGCCCCAGCTCATGGTTTTTAACTGTACTCTCATTACCCTGAGCTCCTCAGAAGTACTTTATGCACAGTGAGGGGCCATAGGAAGGTAGGCAGGTGACTCCATGGGTTGGAATCTTCAACCTTAATAACTCTGCTTTGCATTGCTTGCTTTCTTTCTTTTCTCTTTCTTTTCTCTCTCTTTCTTTCTCTCTCTCTCGTTCGTTCGTTCTTTCTTTCTTTCTTTCTTTCTTTCTTTTTGACAGGCAGAGTTAGTGAGAGAGAGAGACAGAGAGAAAGGTCTTCCCTCCACTGGCTCACTCCCCAAATGGCTGCTACGGCCGGCGCGCTGCGCTGATCCAAAGCCAGGAGCCAGGTGCTTTCTGCTGGTCTCCCACGCGGGTGCAGGGGCCCAAGCACTTGGGCCATCCTCCACTGCCTTCCTGGGTCACAGCAGAGAGCTGGACTGGAAGAGGAGCAACTGGGACAAAATCCGGTGCCCCAACCGGGACTAGAACCTGGGGTGCTGGCGCCGCAAGGCGGAGGATTAGCCTAGTGAGCCGTGGTGCTGGCCTGCATTGCTTTCTTAGGCATCTGTGTGTAATGTTGTTGGAAGCAAAGCTTCTGAGGCTATACTATGACTACTGATGATACTTACTTTGGCTTTACTGTGCTATGGGTTTAATGTGCAAACTTAAGTGAATTCAACAACCATTCCAGGCTTTTTGGCTATCATTTCCTCTTCACAGACTGGATGGGTGGGCCCACACCTGTGAACTCCTACCTCTCTGCCACTCAGGACCCTATCATCATTTTCTCTCTACTAGGATTTATGTTTGGGAAGATTTTGTCTCCCAACGAAGCTATATTTATTTGTAATCCAATTTTCCACTGTTTCATTACTCAAAGACATATAACTGCCAGTCAGAGCCTCTGATCAGCATAAGATAACCTGTGCTTCCTAGACAAAAAAGAATTATTATTTGAATGAAGCTGTGGTGCAGTCTTATTGTGGGCAAATGTACAATTTCCGCTTCTTACAATATTGGAAATTGCTCCCCACCCCCTACTGCTCTTAGATGTCTGGGTTGGCATCCACAACAGGGGAAGCATTGGTTTCTAAGATCCCCTTCTAGCTTAGCTATGCCTGGGAGTACTAAGAGAATAATAGATAGGAGTCTGGAGGAAGGATTTACTGCTGCATGCACTGGGGCAAATGGTGGCAAAGACTATGCAGGCAAAGCCTGCACCACCTTTCTTGTTGGAGAAGCCATTGTGGCTCCTCTGTTGCTTCCCATCTGCTGCTTCCTCCTTCTCACTAACCCATTCTGCCTGAATCTTTATTTGCAGTGCTGAAGACCATAAAAGGATTTTATGAGTTTCAGTTTCAGAAGGATGGAGACAAAGAAGCAGAAGCCCAGAAGGAGGTTGAAGAGGAGGCCTTGTCTGTCCTGGAAGAGACACAGACCAAACCTGCCCAGGGGAAGATCAAGAATCAGGCCCAGTCCACAGAAGCACAGACTGAACTTGCCCAGGAAAAAGCCAAAGGACGAATACAGCCTGTGAAAGCACAGGTTGAACCAGTTGATGCAAAGGCCATGCTGGCCCAGGTGCAGGCCAAGCTGGCCAAGGCAAAGGTGCAGCCAGCCAAGGCAAAGGCCAAGGCAAAATCCAAGATGACTGTGGCACTAGCTGAACCACTTGAGGTGCAGGCAAAGTCACCCAAGGCAAGAGTCAAGCTGGCTCTGGCACTTCCTGAACTGCCTGAGGTACCTACCAAATCGCCCAAGGCAAAAGTCAAACTGGGCCTGGCACTGACTGAACCAGTTAAAGCACAGGCAAGGCCACCAAAGATAAAGACCAAGATAGCCCTGACACTGGCTGAACCAGCTGAGACACAACCTGAGTCAACCAAGGTGCAAGCTGAGCACACTGGGGTACGTTCTGAACTGTTGGAGGTACAAGCTGAAGCACAGGGCGAAGCAGACGAGGAGCAGGCTAAAGAGCCTGATGAGCAAGCCTGGAAAGCTAAGGAGCAAGAAGAAGAGCAGACTGAGGCACACGTGGAATCTGCCAAGAAGCAAGCAGAACCTGCTGGAGCACAGGCCAAACCAGCCCAGGAGCCGGCTAAGGAACAGGTAATAACACAGGATGAACCAGCTGAGAAGCACCCTGAACCTGCCAAGCAGCACACCAAACCAACTGAGAAGCAATCCCAAACTGCCAATGAACAGGCTGAGGTGCAGGCCGTGCAATCTGGGATGCAAAATGAACTCACTGAGGTCTGTTCTGTACCATCCCAGGTGCAGGCTGAGGCACAAGTCAAACTACCTGAAGTGCAGAAAGAAGTACAGGATGAGCCAGCCAAAGAGCAAATTGAGGCACAGGCCACACCAGGTCAGGAGCAGGTTGAGGTGCAGGCAGAAGCAGCTAAGGAGCAGGTGGATGCATGCAAGGAACAGGCCAAGCCAGCCAAAGATCCAGCCAAACCATGCAGGGAAGAAGCTGAGCCAGAGGAGGTGCAGGCAGAGGTGCAGGTTAAGATGAGTGAAGTTCCAAAAAAGAAGCAGGCTGAAGCAGCCAAGATTCAGGGTGAAGCAGATATGGTACAGACTGAGTTGGGTCAGGCACAGGCCAAGTCCACTAAAGAACAAGCCAAAGAGCTTGAAGCCCAAGTCAAGCCAGCTGATGTACAGCATAAACTGGGTGAACCATCCAAGGTACAGGCTGTGCCAGCGAGCACTGCCCTCTCACCATCAGAATGCATGGTTCGCCCCAAGGAATCAAGCCAAGCACGAAAACACAAACATTTACATTGTTCTCACCCCCCAGGTCAGGGCAAAAATGAGCATCTCGTCATTAGAGATGAGTCTGAGGCACCAAATAGTCTCCTCCAAGAAGAGGTAGATGAAACAGGCCAAGGAGCCCTCGCAGGCACCTGCTCAGAAAGCAGAGCAAGAGAGAGCCCAAGTCGATGCCTGCGTTCAGGGTTTGCCTTGTTCCGCTCTGCTACCCAATGGTGGCCTTCTAAGCGATCTAAAATCACAGCTGACCATAAGGACCTTTAGAGGGGCTAACAGTCCATTTTCTCCTTAGAATGAGTAGCTTGGGGGAGAGCCCCATCATAGTCTACTCCCACTACCTAAATAATTTAGGAGGGCTAAAACAACCATTTTACTCCAATCTTCCTTTGAATTTCATCCTTTTCCCTCCACACTGCCTTCTGTCCCCCAGTGCCCCACTTATATTACCATTTACATTCCCCAGCCACCTGCCCACTCACTCCCTACCTACCCAATCCAGGAAATTTGGGATTATCCTTCATGAACACCTGGAGCACACCCTTGTCTTTATTGGTTGTCATCTTCCCCCAAGTGGCTGATGACATTTAACTTCAGTGATTTGGTCAAACCAATGCAAGGAATGAGAATAGGAAAGAAACAGAAGTCATTTTCCCCTCTTGTGACCTCTTTCCCCCAAAACCTATCATCACCCCAAAACCACTTTGAACTTCCCAGGGACCCTTTACCACATATGTAACCTGAACTTCAAAGAAATCCATTCTGATTCACATCTCATTTTCATGACTTTATATATATTTAAAAAATCAATCAACTCCTCTCAAGTACCCTTTCCTGTTAGCTCACTTTCCATGGTCAGCTCAGGAACCAGTACAGGTGCACTCTCCTCACAAATGAGACCTCACTTGTCCCAAAATGAGCCTGACCAGTGCTCTCAAGGATTTTGATATATTGATACCCCTTTTGACAATTTAAACATCAAGGGGGTCCCCATCATTTGATCTTCACCAATAGGTCCTGTTGATGCTACCTCCTACATATCTCTTCTATCAGCCCTTTCCTCCCTGACCCTACAGTCTTCTTTCTGGCCCTCACTGTCTGTCCTCTAAATAATTGCTACAGCCTACTCACTGGCTGCCTGGACCCTTCTCTGTGTCATGGTTGTCTACATTGGCATCAGAGAATCCATCCAGAAACTTGCAATTGGCTAAAGTCCATACTTCTTCATATTTCAAGCTTCCTCTACCTCATTTCAGACTTCCAAGATACTAGATCTTTTATCCATACATACCTCCGCTCATCCAGTTCCCAACTGCCACTCCACCACTCAATTCCTCCTCTTGATAAAAAACAAATATTTTTTCCTCTGTCAAGTGTTATCTCTACTGTGAAACTTTTCTGTACCAGAGTTAGCCACCATCACACTCAATCTCCAGCTGTGTTATTTACCCCTAGAATAGAAGTTGTTCTGTGGTATTAAATGAATCGAGTGTGTGTTTTGTTCCCTTGATCTTTATTTATTGTGATCACCTAATTTATCTGTGAACTCCCAGTACCCAATGTTGTGGGCATGTAGAATAATTCAATAAATGTGTGTGCATAATGAAGGACTCTGTGTCGATCTTGAAGACCAACGGGGCTAGTGGACACTACAGGAAGGGGGCTCTTTGCTAGTAGGTCGTTCTGGGAGTGGAGAAAGATGATTTAAAGTACAACGTTCTATGGTGGGACCCCAGTACCATTTGTTATCTGCATGTATAAGTAAAATAATTACCACCTTCCCAATCATCTTCCCTCGTGGTTGGGAATTCCAGCCCTATCCGTCTGTCCCCGCACTTCCACACAAAAGAAGCCCACTATACAAGATTGCACATAGGAGTGGGAGGAGTTGTTACTTTTCTGCCAGTGCTGAGGCCATAGCTAAGATACAATGAAACTACATTGGGTGGGGGGAGAGGAAGGAAACCAGGCCTTCAATAGACCATTATCTCAAGAAGACTGAAAGCCCTTTTGTGCTGCCACTCCTGGCCTCTTTTCTTTTCTTTTTAAAAATTTATTTATTTTATTCGAAAGGCAGTTGTAGAGAGAGGGGGAAAGAAAGAGACCGAGATCTTCCATTCATTGTTTCACTCCCCAAATGGCTGCAATGGCTGGAGTTGGGTGCATCTGAAGCCAAGAGCTTCTTCCAGATCTCGCATGTGGGTGCAGGGACCCAAGCACTTGGACTATCCTCTGCTGCTTTCCCAGGCCATTAGCAGTGAGCAAGATCAGAAGTGGAGCAGCTAGGACTCAAACCAGTGCCCAAATGGGATGCTGGTGCCACAGGCAGAGGCTTAACCTACTATGCCATGGTATTGGTCCCTCCTGGCCTCTTTTCTAGCTCTCCAAACTCCTATATCCCTGCTTTCTTTGAGGTGCCCCACTCAGTCCTTCCCCGAGCCTAGGCCATTGTATGGAAAATTCTAATAATGGTCACAAAAGACATCAATGGTGGAACTGGCATTTTGGCACTGCATATTGGAGTGCTGGCTGGAGTCCCAGCTGCTCTGCTTCCAATCCAGCTTCCTGTTATTGTGCCTAGGAAGGCAGCAGAAGATTGTCCAAATACTTGGGCATTGCCACCAATGTAGGAGACCTACATGGAGTTCATTGCTCTTGGTTTATGCTTGGCCCAGACCTGACTGTTGCAGCCATTTGGGGAGTGAACCAAGAATGGAGAATGGATGTTCCCTCTCCCCTCTCCCCCTCCCCCCTCCCCTCTCCCCTCTCCCTCTCTCCCTTCTGTCACTCTGCCTTTCAATTACATGAATAAATAATTTTATTATTTATTTGAAAGGCAGAGATAGAGGAGGAGAGAGAGAGAGAGAAAGTTCTTGCATCCACTCGTTCACTCCCTAAATGGCTGCAATGGCTGGGGCTGGGTCAGGCCAAAGCCAGGAACCTCTTCCTATGTAGGTACAGGTTACCAAGGACTTGAGCCATCTTCCTCTGCTTTCCCAGGCCATCATCAAAGAGCTGGATCACAAGTGGAGCAGCTGGGACTCGAAATGTCACCCATATGGGATTCCAGCCCTGCAGGTGGAGGCACAGGCCCCCACAAACAAATCTTTAAAAAGAAAAAAGATGATCAAGTGTGTCTGGTAGAATCTACTGTTTACGGATTGTCTTTAACATTGGTTAAACCATAATACAATATATTATTCTGTAAAGAGAACTTGCCTTGAAGTCCCATTTCCAGTCTACTCACTTTATTTGAAGTTGTCATGATTCCCTGGCCTTCAATGAGCCTCCCTTTTACCATTTGCTAGATGGTAAGAAAAGAAAACCCCTACCTGATGATCTCATGTGACTGCTACAATTAGAAACATTCCATGACAGCCCTAAAATCTGCAAAAATCTTATCACAATATCCTCCAAGTGGCTCTGTCTGTCGAGGTCTCCTGCAGTTTGACTAAGCTTAAGCATAAAGGTATTGTGGACCTTCCACAGAGAAGTCTACTCAAACCACTGGGCTTCCCTTCTCTAATATTAATGACGCCCCCCCCCCAAAAAAAAGAAAAAGATGGGCCTAGAGTGTACAAGGATCTTTGGGGATTCATTGGATGGGCAGAGGGAGTATTCAACTCACCCTGGATTCTGGCATCCTTCTGGAATGACTGTCTTCTGGCAAAGAATCTCACCAATTGCAGTTTGATGGGCAAATGGACCACAAACAGTCATAGCCCCTGTGCCTGGGCTACAGTACCGCATTGGTCAGATTTTCATTACTACCACTGAATATCTGAGACAAGTTACTTATGGAGGAAAGAAACATTCATTTAGCCTCGGGTTTTGGGAGGTTCAAGTCCAAATTGGGCAGCCCCATTGGTTGGGTATCTGATGAGGGCAGCAGATGAAATGGTGAGGTGTGCATAGAGGAAGAATCACATGAAGAGTCAGGAATCAGAGTGGTTGGGCCCAATTCAGCTTTTATAATTAATCCTCTCATGAGAACTACCTTCCAAGGACATCGCCCCTATGACTTAAGCAGGCTCACCTCCTAAATAGCATGATTGTAGAATGCTTCCACCCTCTTACTATCATTTTTTATAAATGTTTTAAAATTTATTTGAAAGTCAGAGTTACAGAGAGAAGAGAGGCAGAGAGAAGAGAGAAGAGAGAAGAGAGAGAGAGAGAGAGAGAGAGAGAGAGAGAGAGAGAGGTCTTCCATCTACTGGTTCACTCCTCAGATGGTCCCAGATGGCTGCACCGATCCAAAGCCAGGAGCCAGGAGCTTCTTCCAGGTCTCCCACACAGGTGTAGGGGCCCAAGGACTTGGGCCATCTTCTGCTTTCCCAGGCCATAGCATAGAGCTGGATCAGAAGTGGAGCAGCTGGGTATTGAACCGGCACCCATATGGGATGCCGGTGCTTGAGGCCAGGGCATTAACCTGCTGCGCCACAGCACCGGCCCCATTCTTACTATCATTAATTTGCAATTTGATGTTTAAAGTCTTGAGTTTGAGAGCCAAACCTTGTTCAAACCACATCAGGGGGCTGGCGTCATGGCTCACTTGGTTAATCCTCCGCCTGTGGCGCCAGCATCCCATATAGGAGCCGGGTTCTAGTCCCGGTTGTTCCTCTTCCAGTCCAGCTCTCTGCTGTGGCCCGGTAGGGCAGTGGAGGATGGCCCAAGTTCTTGCATGCCTGCACCATCATGGGAGACCAGGAGGAAGCACCTGGCTCCTGGCTTCGGATCGGCGCAGCGCCAGCCGTAGCAGCCGTTTGGGGAGTGAACCAACGGAAGGAAGACCTTTCTCTCTGTCTCTCTCTCTCTCTCTCTCTCTCACTGTTTATGACTCTACCTGTCAAATAAAAAAAAAACACACACACACACATCAGGCACCATTGAACAACATACTGATGGAGCTGATTCACCTGTCTGGATTCTGCCTTCCTATTGTGGCAAAGGATTATGGGTTCCCTAGCAGAACCCTACTTCTACAATGAGAAGCCTGGCTCATTTTGTTCACCTAGGGAGTGAGACTTAAAATATGCATGCCTAGAGAGAGAGAAAGGGTCAGACAGAGACTAAGATTGAAGTTGCTGCTCCCCTGTGGGGGAATTCTCCCCCAGGAAGTCTGCAGACCACAGGTATTTCCAGAACACTGTCCCCACAGCTTTAAGAACAGTACTTTGGTTTTAAGGAGGGATTGGCCATTGTCCCAATCAGTGGACTAGTTGCTGGGAAGGACCTTAGAGTTCAGTTGGTCCAAGTTCTCTATTTCACAGAAGAGAAAGAAGGCCCAGAGTGGACAGGTCATTTGTGTCTAGTTACACGTGTCGACACCTTTTAGTTCCAGAGGCAGAGCTAGGTCTAAAAACCAACTGGCTTGCATGTAGGCTTCTAGCCCAGAGTATCTTCTTCAGGACAGGAAGGTGGACTGTAATTAACAAAATTCTGACTGATAGTACTGCACAGTAGTTTAAGACAGTTTCCAAGCAAGGGTGTCTCGGCTAGTGGCTGGAGCACAAGTTACGGTATCTATGTCCCACACTGGAGTGCTTGGGTCCAAAACTTAGCTCCAGCTCCTGACTGCAGCTTTCTGCTGATGTGAACCCTGAGAGGCAGTGGCTCAAGTGGTTGGGCTCCTGCCACACATGCGGAAGATCCGGACTCAGTTCAAGGCTACTCTCTCTTTTTTAAAAAAAAGATTTATTTATTAATTTAGAGGTGCAGTCACAGTCAGTGCTGGCCCCAGTTCCTGCTCTTTGGCCCAGTTCATCCCAGACCATTGTGGACATTTGGGGAGTGAACCATCAGATGGAATATGGAATATCTCTCTCTCTCTCTCTCCACCTCTCTCCCTCTCTCTCCAGCCCTCCCCCATCTCTCAAATAAATAAATAAATAAATTTTTATGAGCATACAGGTCCCAAAGCCATCTTGTTTCTAGTCAAATCTTTGTTTTGAAGCTGCATGAGTTTTAGCATGCTACTTATTCTCTCAGTTTCTTTATCTTGTAAATGGATCTAAAATTAATACCTACTATCTAGGATTGTCATAAGGATCCAATGAGATGATATATTTAAGAAGTATCAAGGGCCGGCGCTGTGGCATAGCTGGTAAAACTACCGCCGGCAGTGCCAGCATCCCGTATGGGCACCAGTTCGAGTCCCGGCTGCTCCACTTCTGATCTAGCTCTCTGCTGTGGCCTGGGATAGCAGTAGAAGATGGCCCAAGTCCTTGGGTCCTTGCACCCACATGGGAGACCCAGAAGAAGCTCCTGGCTTCGGATTGTCACAGCTCCGGCCATTGCGGCCAACTGGGGAGGGAACCAGTGGATGGAAGACCTTTCTTTCTCTCTGCCTCTCCTTCTCTCTGTGTGTAACTCTTTCAAGTAAATAAATAAATCTTAAAAAAAAAAAAAAAGAAGGATTGGAGCTGGTGTTGTGGCATAGCAGGTTAAGCTGCCACCTGTGACACTGGCTTCCCATATGCGTATCAGTTTATGTCCTAGCTGCTCCATTTCTGATCCAGCTCTCTGCTGAAGTGCCTGGAAAAGCAGTAGAAGATGGCCCAAGCACTTGGGCCCCTGAACTTATATGGAAG